GTTATAGAATATATGCAGTGATGCAACCAGGATTTTTCAGTATGCTGAATCTCGACTTCCGAATATGGGACCGAGATAAAACTCATGGAGGGTGATGTTGGATCCAAATGATGGAATTTTATTTAAAAAAATTAACATTTTCCTGATCCTCTCCCAAAATTTGTTTTTGCTATTAGTAGTATCCTGATTTCTAGAATTTGATAGGAAGTTACACTGAATTTCATCAACAGATTTCAAATTTCATCTAAAAATACGCAACCGTTCAAGAGGTATGACATTTTGAAATTTTGCAAAAATTGTCTTCACATGTAGCCAAAATTTGAAAACCTTATAGCTGTTGAACGGTTGCGTATTTTTAGATGAAATTTGAAATCTGTCGATGAAATTCAGTGTAATTTCCTATCAAATTCTAAAAATCAGGATACTACTAATAGCAAAAACAAATTTTGGGAGGGGATCAGGAAAATGCTAATTTTTTTCGCAAACTCCTAATGCAAATTATTTTTTTATAAAATTCCATCGTTTGGATCCAGCATCATCCTCCATGAATTTTATCTCGGTCCCATATTCGGAAGTCGAGATTCAGCATACAGAAAAATCCTAGTTGCGTCATTGTTTGGAACGAGAAATTAGAAGAGCTTGGAGAAAAATTGATTTGATTACGTACATCAAGTTATTGGTGTGTTCCTTCGAAGAGTTTATTCGATCGAAAGGCATAATGGAAAGATTATTATTGATGAACATTCATGATACGTATGAATTTTTATAGTCGCTATGCGAAGTTCTGCCATCTTTATATAAAATATTGTTTCGAAAAATTACTTTAAAAAAAAATTGCGACAATTTTGTTATAGTCGATATATCGGAAAATAACAACATCTCGCAGATGATTATTTCCAAACATTTAGAAAAATCATTAAAGCATGTCTGTAGAAATTTATTTGCATACCTTTCGTAAAGCTTTCAACGATGCATCTTGAAAAAAATTCAAGATTTGATCATATTCTCAAGATGAGATGCATGTAAAACACAAATGACTTTTAAACATTTTTATAATGTTAAATGCTGTGGGAAGTAGCACTATTATGTATGTTTTTCGTTGTGATCATGAAAGAAACTATCAGAACATATCTACAGGAGTTTATTAAGACAAGTTTTGTAGAGCTTTTTAAGGAGCATGTTTCGAAAAAAAGTCAAGATTATATCATTTGTCTGTGCAGAAATATCCACAAAACAAATGATGTTGCTATCATGTTGAGACACCCGATATTTATGAGCAAAAAAAAAATATCTAGAAAAATTTTCTTTTTAAAAAACAATACAAATATTGTCACATCCAAATGAGTAATCGATGTAACTCGTTGCTATAAACAGCTTCAAATTGTTGTTCACAAAGAACGGTATTACATTGTAACCATTGTTTAACATCTGTTTTTATCTTTTCAAAGAATAATCCAGTAATACATAGACTAACAAGTTTATGTTCTTGGAATTCTACTAACAAACGTACTACCATCGATTCACTTGAACCTGAGGATGTGACTTCATACTTCTCTTGACATGACTGAACGGATAAGCTTCGTACTGTGGAATCTTCAAGAATATTGTCATTTGAGACTATTGTTGTACTATCCTGTAAATGTGTTAAATCTACATACAAATCCTGAACTCGAAAGAATGTAGAAGCAATGATAGATATGTGTTCTTCATTGAGTGTTATTGACGATGATTTCGTTGAGTTTTTGAAAATGCTAAGTGACGTAATACGTTGATCAAGAAGATGACGTATTTGTTGGTTTTCGATGAACAACCATAAATAATCAAAAGGTAAATCCAAGCGAAAGAGATTTGGTGCAGCATTAAGAATAAATGAAAAATGGTTCAGATCAGAAGGTATTGATCCATAAAAGTTGACTTGAATAAGTCGAGATAATTTAGGAATGTGGAATATTGGACATTGTTCTTCTAAAAAAAAATTAAATAGTTTTGGAAGAATAATATTTGAATCTCAAATTGAGACATGATCTCGATTAATAATAAAACATGCAGAGTTGAAAGATACTAAGCTTTCTTATCTTTTTATTTTCTTTTCTAATTTATCCTATATACAAATGTTTGTCAATCATTCGTAATCTTTTAGAATAATTTAAATAGAAATAGAATTTGAGGTATTACAGCCTTTAACTATGGGAATTTCTGTTTTTCGTACTCAAGTTAGAATTTTCTTGAGAATATTCTATCGATTCAAATGATGATTTCTCATTTTATAATTCTTATGTTTTCTTCATCGGTTTGACAAATTTTCATAGTCATTTGTACATTATCAATATCTTTGTTCAATATACATACCTTCAACGATTTCGCCTGTATCTTTAACACTAAAAGTAATTTCTCTCACTTGACGACATTTGGATATTATTCCTAAAGACTTGGTTAAAGCAAAATTTCTGTCGATCGTAAGGTCCAGCTGTTCAACACTACAATCATAGCCGTTTATACTATTTACTCTGCATGATATCATTTTAGTGATAAGTTCTGGAAATGAAATACGAGCGAGATGCCATGGTAATGTATGAATAAATAAGAATGGGTTTTGATAGAAACATGTAACTCGATGAGATGGTGACCAAGAGGCAATAATCGCATCAATTTGATCAACAAACATATTATCAAAAAAACAAATGGCATAGTCAAACTGTTGAGCACAGAAAGGAAGTGATGGAAGAATTGTGCCACCTTCGATAAGACGTCTATCAGTTGTCAAAAGAAAAAGTGATAGATGTCGTACTATTGGTAATTGAGCAAATAATATAAGCAATTCTTCAAGCATCCACGATTGCTGAATAGATTTGAATTGAAAATAGGTAAGATGAAAACGAGGAGATAAATTCAGCCCACCAAAATATTCCAATGAGTCATCACTTTCACTAAGTTCTACGTCTAGATATCGAACATTTGGAACGGCATGAAAAAGAGATGGTAAATCTGCGCTTGTTCTCAACGTGATACGCAATCGAATGGTATTCGAGTAACAATCAGTGTGATGAAAATGTAAAGGACTCGATCGATCATCAATTAGTATTGTTGTCAATCGATGATTATTTGCTTGACTTAGTGATCGAATAACTGTTGATTGATTATCTACGTGAATTGAAAAGAGACTATATAAACGAATCTCAACAAGATAATTTAAATCATGCAGAGTATCAATAAAGGCAATTAATTGATTGTATTCATAGGAAACAAGACTGATTCTTTCCAATTTAGGAAATATTATTGACATTTTCTTGCCAAAATGTTCAATGAATAAATCATCTTGTAAGATGGAATAACAACAATCAATTAGTAATGTACGAATTTGAGAACCAATTTGAGGAAGAATATTTATACATAAATAATCGCTTTTTGAAATAGATGTTTTATGTAATGAAATATGATGACGATAGTTAGTAATCATTTGTGTTATTCGATAGTTTAATCCAATTAAAGACATTAGAATATCAGCACATAATAAATATTTACAGATTTCTAATAAAATCTCATCGGGAAGCATTTCCAATGTTGATTGACTACAAGAAGTTGCCATCTAAAAAAAAAGCTAGTATCGATTGTTTATGACATTCGAGAAATATTGCATATTAATTGTGATGTAGTTCTATAATATCCTCAAAGCAGTTCACATTTTGTGAGAAGATTAAAATTTTGATGGTGCTCTAGAGTATTTCTCAGTTAAACGCGAAAGTTTAAAAAACTCGTGTAAACGCAATATTATAGGTACGTGTACATGCATGAATCATTATGACATAGCACGCGTGTGAACGCGTCACAGGGTACACTATATTCACGAATACACGCATGAAAGTTTCCATATGTACATGCTTAATATTTTCACATGCAGGGACATACGAGTACTTTTTCAGAAACTCCTTGCGTGTGCATGTAATACAATATTAGAATGGCCAAAAAATGAAGCACATATCACAGACATGCATGAGCACACAGAAGTTTTTTTTTCCAGAGATAAAATTCGAACATACATACTTGTTTTATAAGACGAACTTTTCCACCATTCGGCCATTTACTTACATCAGATTCATAATAAAAACTGAAGGATATAATGATCATCCGATAACTTTCGGACACTCATGTATATGAATGCTAATAACTATAAAGAATTTCACAAAATTGAACAAGTTTTTTAAGCTAATATAATGTGCTTATGGAAGAGCGATTCCATTTTTACGAGAAATAAATAAATACACGTCGATGAAAAAACTAAATTCTTGCAGGGAGCAGCATGTATACTATAAAATAGTCAAATTTTGCATGTCAATGCAGAATCGCTTCACTACTCATTTTCGTAAATAGGATTCTTTTGCATTTGCATTGCAGGGTTTCGAGGAGGTCTCATTATCTGGCGGGTAGACACAGTTGATACATAGGCATTTCCAGGCGAGTCATATATCTTACATGAACATGCAAGATCAGTGCATACAAGTATCTGCAAATATTAAAGTCATGCATGATCTCGCATGTTTCACTGGAAAACCTTAAAATTTGTATTTGCATCCATGTGTTGGAGACATACAACTCTATGCATGTATTGTTGATCTGCATTTATACGGAAAAAATTGAAAATATTTCAAATGCCTTACAAGATCGCGCGTGAAATAAAACAAACAAAAATTTTTTGCAAGTAAACGCATGTTTTAACAAATTTCTTGCAAATACACGCGTTTTTTAAGCTTTCACTTTTGACTGGGTTGATGAAGATTTTTGAAATTTGTAGATTTAAAACTTCATAGACTTCGAAATGATTCTTCGCTTCTGTAAATTTCATTCGTTTCGAATTATCATAAAATAGTACTATTTACTTTTATCTAGTTTGAACGAACGACTACGAAACATAACATAAGAGATAGAAATTCGTAACGTCCGTAGTTCGTCCGTTACAATTGTGTATCGAACATCTACATGTATATTTCATGTCTGCTTATATTTCGAGAGATCAGTGTTCAGATGTTGGTTATAGGAATATTGAGTATTGGTTTGCTTTGGCTTGAAACATATAAAATTTAACTGAAGAGAACCTGAATAGATAAAGCATAGAAGATAATCGCTTGTTGAGGCAATACAAACGCATGTCCTAAGTAGAAAATTATCTTGCATTAAAGTATCTATTTTCAATCCTGGAAATTAAGAGCCGGAATGATAATTATCCAACTCGTTGATTTCAAGTCATTTACATGAATAATTTTTATTGACAGCTTCGAATTCTGGATAGAACGTAGCTATCAACTTAGGAAATGAACGTTCGACGTTGAAGACTGTGTGCTCAACTTAATAGCTGCAGTAGTGGCCAAAAGTCCCGACCCTAGAGGATCTCAGCCATTATAAGTGCTGGATGTCTGAAAATTTGTGTGCGCATACTCCGTCAAGAATGCAGGTCAGAGACACAATTCTGCCTCGATTGCTTCAGTATAAAGAGAATTATGATGGATGACAATGGATGACACATATTTCGCCTTTGAACTTCATAACTCTGGAAAAGCTGGACTTCGTAGGTCAGCTAATGGTTCATTGTGTAGCGCTGTGTTTCAGCTATCCACACAACTAATTTTATTACAGTTTGTCAATTTTCTTTAGAATTATGGCCAATTTGCTATGACCGATGATATGGAAAAAAATCCTCTGGTATCATTTTAAGACGGTAACTCAGTAACAATTTAGTGGATGAAGCTCAAATTCTTGCAAAAGCGTCTCCTGTAGTTGCACATTAGTGTCCATAAGTTTCATAAATGAACTGTGTACTGATGGAAAATAGCATGGCTATTACCATCGCATTGGTGAATCTGAGGATGCAGAGACATGCAGAAACGCCAATATTCGAACAAATGAACTCATATTTTGGTTTAAGAAAGATCATAGACTGAGCTCCAATTCCATGCAATAATATCAAAATTTAGTTATGTATTTGGTAAAAAAATAGTGTAAAATTGAGTGGACAGTCCTTTTTCAGGTTAAAAATCTCAATACAAAAATAGATACCATCTATCATAATTCTCTTTATACTGAAGCAATCGAGGCAGAATTGTGTCTCTGACCTGCATTCTTGACGGAGTATGCGCACACAAATTTTCAGACATCCAGCACTTATAATGGCTGAGATCCTCTAGGGTCGGGACTTTTGGCCACTACTGTATATTCAATGTAGGAAAACAGTATTTATCTCAGAAAAGATTGTTTCTAAAGAATGTAGTGCAGTCCTTTATGACAAAAATGATTTAGAGTTCCCTATTTATGTATTCATTTGAATTATTAATAAAATAAGATTTTAAAGAGTTAAAAGGTCATTTACTTACATCTATTCTTTTCACCAGAAGAAATCAAAGAATGGATGTGTTTAAGAAAGTTGGAAGTTTAAAATGTTGCCGTCGTCCAAGATCAAAAAAAAACGAAACACGTGCATTTCTGTTTCTTTTATTGTGTGTACACATGCACTTGAGTATTCTATGTTGTGCGAAATACAAAAACAAATATTGTGTGACGCACACATTATTGCTTCACATTGCTCGTTAAAAAGAGAGAAAGAAAAAGAAAATAGGAAGATGTCACTGTTATGTTCGAAGTGTTCCCCTTCGAACATAAGACAGAAGAAAGCGAATGATGAGTACTCCTTTCTAGTACAGTGGTTAATACGACTGCCCGGAAAGCAGGAGATGCATGGTTCGATTCCCTTCCGAAGGGAGATTATTCTTTTGTTCTGTTCTGTGGTCATACCATCGCGTTGCTTTCTCGGTGATAAGAAAGAACAATGACATAACAGTCACGATCAGTATTCTCTCCACACAGCCGAAAAGTTTTAAGACTAGCAGCTAGCTCCATTTATTCAACTCGTTTTTCAGAAATTTCCATGGATCCTACCTTTATTTACGAACTCTACAGGTCTCTATTAATACATGAAACCAATTTTTACACTGTTCTTCTTTTTCTTTTCTTCACCATCTTGTATTCAGACTGGGTCACAAATCCGAAGAGTCTCTTTCTCAAAGGAGTGAGGTCAGTCTCTGGGCCAATGTTTACGGCTGGGATTTTTGCCAAAATTGCTTTGCGTCGCTTTTGGACTTTCTCTGTTACCATGGATGGATGCTCACCAGAAAGTATCTTGAAGAACTGAGCGTAGCGACGACGCAGACTAAAATTCTCTCACGACCCATGCATTGTACGTTGATCCCATAGAATGGCTGAGCCGGCACGAGTGGATATGTGACAAGCAGTAGCATACAATTCTGGAATGTCAATTTTGCTTAGGAGAATAAACTGAATGTAGCATCCATAACTATTTTTCAGGTCTTTTCGGTCGGTAGCCCATTGTGCTTAATACTTATGGAAACCGGGAATTAACCAAAAGCCACTGTCTTCCCCAAGATTATCCGCAAAATTGACTAGACCCTATACATGCAACTCGCCGACTTTGGCACAACAAGGTTCGTTGTTTTCTATGATCTAGTTCTGATTAGATCTATAGTGCAGCCTGTTGAGAAGTTCCAGTTGATACGAGTTGTCCTTATCTGAAACAAACATGAGGAAAACTATCGAGCTTTATAGGAGAGGTCAGCGCAAATCTTCAATGTAGGTCCATGGATTCATGTTCAAATGTAGATTGGTCATGGCCGTGCGTTCGAGGTGTTCCTTGGTGGGTTGAAACATTCCTTAATGATATGGATTCACTAGAAGATTTTCCGTTTCCAGGATGGCTGCAAAAGCAGCTTGCAGAGCGGGACTTTGTTGATTGAGCAAAATTTGGCGAGTCCAGAGGCTGGCACTATCAATGATATCCTTCCTCTTTTGGAATACCTGTCTTACTCCACAGTCTAAAGGAATAGAACAGATTGAAATCGCATGAATAACAGAAAAAGATCAATAGAATTGAGCGGAATACACTCTTCAGCCTAAAGCTGCTCGTTGTGCCGCACGGACTGTTCCACCAAAGGTTCGATTACGTTCAAAATATATAAGATAGTATTTGTGCACTATTCTACAGTGAAGACATTTGCAACGCCAACGAAATCGTATTTCTCAAAAAATGCACGGACTTCACTGGCTTCCGAACAGTCGTAGCTGAACAATGTAAAACACTTGACGAAACCATCAGAATCTCCGGGTACGATAAGAGGCTGAAATTGAGTAGTGGAGTTCATTATCTGGCTCAAGACAGAAGCTTAGTAAGGAAAAAAATGTGAGAAAAGTTTAAGGTGGCTGCAACTCGAAACTCAAGTAAGATGGTTTTTTTTCTTCTCTTTTACATCATTCAACAGAGCTTAATCTACTGATCAAGGGAAAAAATGGTTTTTAGTTATTATAAATAGCTTTTACAGGTTGAAAAAAAAAAACAAACTAAGAAGTCGTTTTTGCATAAAAACTCTTTGTTTTTAATTCATGTGATATTTTCTGTTCTATTGTTGAACTTCTGCGACTTATATTTTCAAATTCGACACCAAAAACCGAGTACAGCACTACTATTACATCGAATTTGATCCTAAAACTCTGTTGATGGTAGCCACTCAAATTTGATCTATTCGTATG